ACCACCAATCTAGCAGTTTTGGACAGAACAGACGTGAAATGCTATTAGAAATTCTGGTTTATCGACAGGAACTTTTTTCAAACTATGCATTTCTGTATAATATTCTCCCCATCACTCCACACCTTTATAAGTGACCACATGTCCAAGGAATTGTTTTGCATCTTGTAAACTCTCCTAGTAGTTCTTTCTCTTTAAGAACCAATGACTTAGCCTTTGGGGCTGATGGTAGGATGTGGAGCAGCTTCAGCAGAGTGAGGGGACCTGGGCCTCTGGTTCTGTCCATAGTACAAGTGTTGATGAGCAGAGGACTCAGGGAAGGGTGGCTGCAGGAAACGTTCTCCCTAGGACTTGCTTATGACCATAGACCTCTCTAGTAACAGATAATAAAACCTATATTGTTATGGGTTGGGGATTTAGCTCAGTGGCTCCAGCACCTGCCTCGTAAGCACAAGGTCCCAAGTTTGATCTCCAGTACCAAAAAACAAAAAAAGGTATTGTCAGACATGATTTGTAAAACTCCGAGATCTATAAATCTCTGATAGTACTAATTTCTACATTTCATATCCCAGTAGAGGCCATATTATTTCTAAAACGAAGAAAAAAAGAACATCCATGCATAAGCATATAGCTTTTTTTTTTTTTGAGACAAGCACTCAATGTGTAGTTTAGGATGTCCTTGAACTTATTATTTAGCTTAGACTGGCCTAAAATTTGTGGCAATTCTCCTGTCTCAGCCTTCCCAAGCACTGGGATTATGGGCATGCACCACCACAGATAGTTTTATTAGCAAATTCTACTCTCCAAAATTCCAAACGACTGGAATGTAAAGAAAATATAAACGTGGTTAATGTTAATGAGTTTAACAGTATCCATGTGAAATAGGATGAAAGGAGCTAAAGGTGTAGAGAAAGTGGGAAGGGTAAGGGAAAGGTAGTAAGGGAAAAGAAAAAAAATAGGAGAAAATGAAAAAATGGAAACAAAGTGTTTGTAAATGGGGAGGGGAGGAGGAAGTGAAGGGAGGGCAGGGACAAGGGGAAAAAATGAGAACCAAGACCTGTCATGTAGAGGTACAAGATTCCAATAATGAATGTAACTGTACTGTATACCTAAAATGTACCAATAAACTCAATAAATGTGGTCAATAAGCCAATGACTATATTTTAATTTGTCTTTATTATTATTCAGGTAGTCTGGTTCTATAACTTTGTCTCCCATATGCCCAGGGATATATTTAATTCGTTTTCAAATAACACATTGTAGCTTTATCCTGTAAGTTTCTCCCTGGTACCAGCTTCAACATTAAACTCAGGCTGACAGTGGGTACACCACAAGAGTGTGCAACACTTAGATTCTACAGAATCAAAAACTTAAGTATTTTTATTATCAGATATAATGACTTGGATTAATAGAAAAAAAAAATATATATATATGTGCAAAGTATGACCAGAATACCAGAAATAATTCTTCAGTCAAGGCTGTGTACCTAAGGCCATAAATAATACCATTGAGAGCACAGCTTTTCTCTGTCTCTGGGGTCTACTACTTCCAGCTGAATATCACACAATTCCTTCAAGCATACATGAGCATACATAGCTTTCAGATAACATCCATGCAGAAGGAATGTATCTCTAATAGCTATTGTAGCGCAGAAATTAATTTCCTCATTTACAGAAAGACTCAGTAGAGGTTCAGTTTTATTGCACTACTCATGAATGGAAATAGAAACAATTCTGTAAGAGGGAGGATTGTTGTCTGGAACCATCTCTGCCTGTGTGCGAGAAATCAATCCTATCCAATTTTCATGGCTAATAATGAGGTAAGCACGTTTTCTTCTGAAAGGTAAATAAGGTTCCAATAAACAGAGAAGATAGTTAAAATCCAAAAATGTCCTAGGCCTCTCTCTGTTAATGGTCCTATCTGCTTTTCCAATTTTAGTATATGTGCTGCAGAAGCAAGCACTCTATCTGCTTTTCCAGTAGAACTCACCATGTAATCATATTATAGCCACTAAAATCTCACTTGCTGGCATCCCACTAACTGAAGGCTTCTTGTCTTAAAGTTCACAGTGTCTGACTCCCAAATACAACACCTTTGGACTCTACTGTGCATCCAAGCAGCTTTTGATTTTGCCACCATTTAAATCTTTATTTCTTGTGATTTACCTTCCCTTTTTATTTTGCCAAACAAATTATTATTAACAGTCTCTCATATACATATTCAACTCCATTGCAACTTTTCCTTCCTCTTGGTACTGGTGGAAAAAAAATTGTTCTTGATTACATCCATGTCTACTGATTTTACAAATTTTATCAGGTCCACGTAGCTGAAGAAAGACAGAAAGACCGTCTCATTTCCTTAAACTGTTATTGTTGCTGGTCCGTGTTTGCAGTACATAATGACTACGTCCATTCTGGGGAGTTGGTACATATACATAGCACATCTCAATTACTTTATGTCCCCCTCCCCTCCTATTCCACTCCCAACCTTTCATCATTTTGTCCCCTTTCCATTTAAAAGAGATCCTTGTCCCTGTTTTTTGTTATCCGTCTTATATTTTTCCCTTTAATTATATTTTGGCTTCCATATATAAAAGAAACCAGGTGATATTCCATCTTTTGTGTTGTTTTATTTCACTTAATAGTGAAACAAACTACAAATAACTCGTTTATTCTCCTCTATGCCATAGCAGTTCTGTGTCTTCATGGCTTTCCTGTGTTTTAAGGAACACCTCTTCGGAAAAGTGCTCTACTGTATTTTGTAGAGGAAGGTCTGATAATTATCTTCCTGCTTTGTTGACTGGAGAATGGTAGAAAGTGTGTTTTTGCTGTTTGCTCTTATCCCAATATGCTACATTTTAGGGTAACATGTCTTGAATTCCTTCAGTATAACCTGTGCCATGTTGAACCGCGACTATGTTGGCATCCAATTCACCTATTTTTCTCTTATCATCTCTCTCCTAAACCAGAGAAGGATTTAAACTCTTGACTATAAATCTACTACAGATTAGTGTTACATACTCATTCTTTCTTTCTCTTTCAACTTCTCCAACTAGGTGGAAAAAATGAGATCATGAGAGACAAAAGGTGTCAGTAGGGTAGAGGATGTGGGGCAAATCATAGCAACTGGGTACATCTACAGTGCTAAGTTTTGCTGAGGGTGAGCCAACTAACAGAGGAAACAGTTCTGTTAGCATCAGCTAATTAAGATTGCAAAGATGCAACATAATCGTCACAGTTCTGCTGATTGTCAACCCATTTGGTTATATGTGGTCTCTCTACAGTTTAGAGGAAGACTGGAAAAGTGATTCAGAAGAACCTCACTATGAACTGAGCACTATTGTGAAATGTATCTCTGTAGTATTTTTTCCTGGCAACATCTGATGTTTTTGGAAACTTAATAGATTTGACACACTTTCCGCTTCTCCTATTAGTATCATTCATATTTCATCAATTAGTTTCTTGTGATTCCTCTCATAGCTGAATAATGAAGTGATCGATTTAAAAAGAGACATTTGAGGGCTGGGGATTCAGCTCAGCGGTTTGGTCCGAGTTCAATCCCCAGTACCAAAACAAACAAACAAACAAACAAACAAAAAGAGAGATATTTGAGAAATACCGATGCTTGAGACTAAAGAAATTTAACTCTGGAGCTATATAGCTCACTTAATGTTTTCTATCATTTTTTTCTGCAAAGTGACAAGATCAGCTTTCACACATGACAAAGCCTGAATAGCACCGTGACACATAAAAATATTCAAATACATCTTTATTATAATGCCAAATTTATTTATTTTCCATTTTATTTTAAAATGAATATAGTAAATTTGGAGAGTGTTCAGTTTAGGAAAACAGAAATTGTCAAAGAAATTCATAGATTTGGTTATCTAAAAATAATAACGCAAAGATTTATTAGCAAGTAGAGATGAAACTAATGTTCAAATACTTCAGAAGCAAAATGAACAGACATATGCTATAAGAAATCTAATGTATTTGAGTGAAGGGATGTGTAGGGTTACTATGTAAGATAAAAGGAAACAGTTTGTCAGTTAGATAAAAGTTTTATAATTTATATCATCTTGTAAAATCTGGCTTGAATCATTAATTATAATAAATATATAACAAACATATCTGAAGTGCATTAAGAAATTAATAAGTATGTCTAGTATATGTATAAGATTTAAATATTTATCATTATTGGAGTATAAACATATGATATATTACATAGCCTGTGCCAATCGATATCACCTTATAAATTTATATTATATTCTAGCCCAGGCATAAGAACAATTCACAAATTAGGGAACCTCCATTTATATCTAAAATGCAACATGTACACAGCATCAGTACACTGTATTTTCAAATGAGGAAGCAGATCTAGAGGGAAAATCAAAACTATTTAGAAAGATTTAAGAGAAAAGTCTCAGTGATTCCACTGTTGGGTCTTGGGATTTTTAACAAATCAGAAATATACTGGCTTGTGGAAGGGAAGTTTCAACACTAAAGAAAATGGATTAAAGAAAGTAATACAGTAAGAAAGAATGGTACAGGGAGAAGTCAAATGAAAATATTTCAGGTGAAAGCCAGAGGAAGATACATCAACATCCAGGTTAGTTGTCTATAAATCAAGGTTAGTTGTCTACAAGACTGTGATGTACAGCAGAGGGACACAAACAAGTCTGTAACCTTAGAATCTCTGTGGACAAGGAAGTTTGAAGGCTCTTCTGGACACTGAGCGAGTCACTCCATGTTCTTCTGGCTCTTTAACCTGACTTCCTAAAGTGACTCACTTCTGGATTCATGGGATCTGTCAATCCACGTGACACAAAAGAGGGCTATGACTTAAATTAAAAATGGAAAATAAACTGGGGACAGAAAGTGCAGCTAATTGTGGAAAATATTCTTTGTTTCCTACTTGAGTTTTGAATACTTTATTGAGTTTGAGATACATTAATGAAATGTACAAAAACACTTTCAAAAAAATCAGATGGAGGTTAATTTATTGTATTAAAATGGAAACTTTAAGTATGAAAAATAATCCATTAAAGCAATGGATATGGCACTGTTTACTTATGGGAAAGTAAGATAAAATTAATTAAACATTTAAGGATTTGTCATGGGGCAGCAGGCTTTGCTCAGCAATGTGAAAAGTGAGCTTCCATAGTCTGAACACAGCAAGTGCTGAAACTGGATCAAGACAGGCACGGGCCTTATTTTGACCTGATGGGATCAGCTGTCTGCCGATGGTGGAAACATGGCTGCTGGAGATTGGTTGAGCCTCTTCTAGCTGCTAAAAAACAAAACAAAACAAAAACACCTAGTTTAGGTTACAATTTGTTTTTGCAGTAAGTTATCTTGAAATTCATTATATAGACACTCAAAGCACCGAGATAGGCACAGGTCAATGGCTTCCAGCTTGTATAATTTAGCACCTTCTCCACTTTGCTGGCTAATATTAAAGAATGATTTTACTTTCAAAGCATCTTGCTAGTGTTTTGTGTTGCTAGAGAGGTTCTATAGTAAATGGATCTCTGGTTAGCAGAACTATTAATGAATTGCTGCATATGTTATTCCTATCCCCAGAGCAGAGTCTGTGCTAGGGATAAGAAAATCTTGAAATATTCAATGTAATAAAGTGGGAGAAGTTGTGCACTTAAAGAAAAGGAGAGGCATTTGAAGGAGACTTGAGCTGAGTAGGTGAAGCTCCTAAAAACTGATAATCATTAATAAATCGCTTGGTGCTTTGTAATTTCCACACATTTTTAATATCTGAAGTACACAACTGAGAAATTTCCTTGTTAAAAACTAACAAGAAAAGATTTTTGTTTCTTGTTTGAGTTTTTGCAAACGGCAAAGAAGGCAGACTGTTTTGAGATGACAAACTGAGTCATGTCACATGTTCATTACAAACTAATGATCAGAATAACGTATCATCAGAAGACTGTGCACAATACCAGTGATGTTTGAGTGGAAGAGAATACGGCATTTTTCTTTTTAGAAATTCAAAAATTAAAATTGAAGTGACTGCTCTTCTTGGTTATGAGTAACATAGTCCTTCCGTACGCATACTTTCTTCCAAGAGAGAGAAGTGAAAAGTGGCTACATATCAATGTTTGCTAGTTCACCGTATGGACAAGCAGCTTTCCCGCCCTACTTACCCTTGCAACACATGTCATTTTTTCTAAAGTCCAGGTTTAGGAAGGAGATGAATATTGCATTGTTGGAAATGAATATTGCATGGAGGTGGGTGGGAAGAGATTAGTGCAACAGGAGGAGAGGAAGTATTGTGATAGGGAATAGTGCAAACATAAGATATTCAAGGGTGTGAAGAATTAGACAAACAAGCTGAATGAAATGGTGTAGAGAAGGAGTAGGAATACCTAACATGAGGCCAGGCTACATGCTTTGAGGGACCTTTAAGGAGGTTAAAGAAGTGCTGTCTGCTGCCTCAGACCGATGTGAACCCAAGTTCAGGGGCTTAAGGGAAGGAAAGGAAAATAATCAAAGTTGTTACCAAGCATCACGTTTTCATGGATCGATAGGACTCATAAAGATTCTCTCCTTCACCAACCCGTGTGCTTCTGTTTAACTCCATATTGTCTACTTTTTAGCAAGAATCCTACTCAGTCTGCTAAGCAGAACTCCCTATGTTCTACATCTAATCACCCTGGAACTCTAATAAGACCCTCGTTATCCACCTTTCCCCAGGTGATGTTTGGTCATTCTGGCCTGGCTTTAGCAACAGTGTAGTTAGACGAGCTTAGCCCAAATCTTCTCTTACTCCTTATGTTTCCACTTAGTAATTTTCTCTCCGATAAGCCCTGCCTCACTTCTTGTCTCCATATTCTCACTTGTCTGTGTTTTATTAAAGTGAGGCTCATTCTCTTTCACCCACTTTGAGACCGCATTGCAGTAGTGTTGTCTAAATTTACTCGGATAGTCCACTGGTGAATACAGTCTTCCTTATATTTTAAAATTATCACGGCAAATCTGTTTTGTCTTTCACTGTACAAAACAGATGAGCTAATTATTTAGAAGTCAAAGAATGGGGATTTAAGCGCTATAGGGTTGGCCTTATCATAAATAAGGGAACGTGAAGGAGATTTGCTTAAGTCACATGGTGAAGGTGGTGTTATTCTTTATGGAAAGTTGTTCCCTAGAATACAAAATAAATTAAGGTAAACACGAATCTCTTTAGCCATCTCTATTTTCCAGGAACATAGGGGTCAGGTAATACAAATTGTCCAATGATAACCCTTTCTACAACAATAAAAATAATGCGTAAAAGCAATATTTCCTATATAAATAAACAATTTTTGTTGATAGGTTGTAAGTCCGTAGATTTACATGTTCCACATAACTGAAATATTAATACTACTGGTAACAAGCTAAATTACAAGGAGTGATTACTATAGACAAGAGATCATGTTAAGCATATTTAATATTTTATCTAATTAACACCCAAATAATTTTGGGAAATTTAATGTTAATACATCAATTTTACTGTAAAAACATAGAAATGAGAGAGTTTGAGACAATTGTACAAGGTCATAGTGAAATCAAATGGCAGGTCAATTTCTTAACACTTAAATATTTCTCTTTTTCTGGCTCTGAAATATAAGGAAAACTCAGGTGTTTTCCTGAGTCTCATTTGCCATTCAGCATCTGATATGGGGCTTTTTTCTCCCACATACCAAGCATTTCTGCCCGAATGCCATGAGTATAAATTCTGACACTACCTGGAGAATCCAAATCCCACACATTGAGGGCTCAGTCCCACAAGACACACCTCCCCGATTCACCTGTCAACCACAAGTACTCACAAGTACTAAGTTTTCACCTATGCAGGGAATGCTGAAGTTACAATATAGGAACAACAGATTAGTCAGGTTAATGGAAGATTCATCTGCTTCTTGTTATCTATACCATGTACCCAGGTAAACATCCAGAGCTCAGCTGCACAGACTTGTAACCAAGTGGATTTACAACCTGCCTTCTAGAGCCGATTGAGTTCACAAGTCCACTGTCTTTCTGACATTTGCTATTCATCAGAACTCCTTGATTTCTATGAACTTTCTGGAGAAGTTCACAGAACTTAGGAGACTATGTTACTTACATTCACTAGTTGATTAACGAAGGATCTAAAAAAGCACACAGATGAACAGCTAAATGAAGAGAAACATGTAGCAATGTTTGGCGGGGTCCTAAACCCAAAAGCTTCTGTCCCTGTGATGGTGGAAAGTGCCAACTTTCTGATATGCACATCTATTAACGAAACCAGAAGTTCTGTGAACCTCCTACTTCACGGATTTTTATGAAGGCTTCCTCTCTTTGGCACAATCATTTGTTGGCTCCATCTGTCCTTCTCCCCTCTCCACAGAATGTGGCCGAAACTGAAAGCTCCAAGTTATCATCATGGCTGGTCCTTTCCGGTGACCTGCACCCATTGGAGAATCCACTGAGGGTCACGTTCTGAGAACAAGGGATGCATCTAACACCCCTATCTACAAAGATATTAGGAGCAACATGCCATCGACTGGCGACAGAGACCAATACGTTCATTTCTTAGTATTTATCCCTGGCAGACAAGTTACTTTGGACACTCCACTGAGTTTCTTCCATCCCTGGTCAAGTCTGAGGCCAGTGGTAGAATAAAATAGTTAGAAGCTGAAGAGTAATTGTGCAGAGGGAACTGTGATTCTGACTACCTTATGTAAAGGAGGTCAGAGATCCTTTTCCTTCTACCCTCTTTGAATTAATGGTAAAGGTCAATAAATTAAACTGGTCAGAGGAAGAAGAACGAGAGAAAATCATTTTTAATTAAGTATGGATGACCGAGAATCACAAAGAATGTGATGAGGTAGTGATCAAGTGATTTAGGCTTACTTATTATGAGCTAAAGAAAAGAGAAGGAGTTTGGGGCGTCCAGTGGGGGAGGAAAGTCACTGAAGAGTAAGGCGGAAAGGGTGCAGTAAATAATTGCTGCTTTGCTGTGCAGGTGAGTACATCTCCGCAGACCGGTGTTGTCTCGAAGACCTCCTCGCTGGGCATGGACACATCCTCACTGCAAAAAGTGAAATTTATATTCCATTTTTAGGCACTTGGGTGAAGGTGAAGACATTTTTCTGCATCTCCTGATTACCAATTGCATTTAACTCAAAAAAATCCAGGTGTCAGAGTCGTAGTTTAGACTAGCATACTCTGCTTTGGTGTCTCAGGATTTAAATAAACATACATGCAATTGGCCAAAATTCTAGTTTATCCATTTGACACTTGTAGATATATACTGCTTGTCAAGCATGACTTGACCTGCTTTAAATGTGCCAACTCCTCTAAAATAATAACAACAATATTAACTATAATAATAATGAAAATAGTTTTTTTCCTGACAATAAATGCTTCCTATTTCTTGGGTAAAATTAAAAAGGTCATATGATAATAATTTATATTTGATAATGTATTGAAGTTCTTGTCATATTTTATAAGTAAGCCACTTAAGAAATGAAAACACTATTTCTGTGCATAACTAAAAAATAAAAGAAAATTCATATAGAATAGTTAGTAAAATAATAAAATTGAGTAAATGTTTTGTTCTTGAAGTTTAAACTACATTTATCTGAAATTCTGCTCTCTAAACCATTTGTGAAATTTAGTGACTAGTCATCAATTGTTTATATTAAATGTGATTTGGAAATGCTAATTAGTGTACTTGTGGAGAGTAAGTTCAGGGATATTTCATATTCAGAAAGTTTTTCTTGGATTTTATCTTTCCTGCTACAAGAAGAGTCTACTTTTTAATTGAGATTTTCATTCTTTATATGTAAAACAGATAAAAGAAAAATGAAGTAATTTCAATGAAATAAAGACAAATATGTAATCAGGAAAAACATTTCAAAGAACCTCACAGTAAATTGGTTACTTTGAAATATTAAAAATCACAACACTTATATTTATGTATAAAATATTAGAAATCAAAATATTTTTGTATAATTTAATTCATTATCTCTGCTTCTGAGTCCCATATTATATAAAACGAGTTAGCAAACTGCTAAGTAAAATTTAGATATGGGTAGAAACCACGCTAATTTGCATAGCAAATTAAAGTATGATGACAAAGGAGTAGATGAGGAGTGCTTTTCTGTTTTGATTTTAATTATTTTCAAATGTGTGATTCTGCTTCAGTCCTTATTTTTCCATGATTTTATTGGATTTAGACTTAAAAATGAATCATCAAATGAGGATATCTAATGAAGGATATCTAATTTCTAAAAATGACAACCTGCTTATGAAGTATAAATATTTAACATGCTTGCTTTGGCTAAAACAATTGTATTTGAGGAAATACAGTCTTTGAATCCCCTTTACCCTGTTCCTAGAATTTATTTATTTTATATACTTCTGGGGCTTTAACAAACCTCATTAATCCACTCAAATGAATACTTGTTGATCTGCTAGTAAATAAGAAATTATATTTTGTGCTGTAAGATTTAATTTTAAAGACAGAAATGCAACACTATTTATTTTTCAATACATCTCTGTGGATCTGTGAATTGTGACTGGCTTGTGGGATGGATAAACTCATGCTTTTAATGGAACATTTTTTTATGATTTCCAGTATACATCACTAAACTCAGATTTGCTTGAATTGACTGCACTGTTGACCAAAAAAAGACCTTTGTGTTCCCTTTACAGATTTCATCTTTTGAACAGATCATTTGATGTTCCTATCAATCGTAATCTCAGAGATACACTAGATAATCATTCTTTTATTTGTACATTTATTTATGCTTTGAAACCGTACCAAACATCAAGCCAAACATTCCAGTTGCAGGAATTTTTTTTGGCCTTGGAATTTACGTCATGGATGTAAAAATTCAATTAAAAAGATAAAGCAAATAATTTGAAGTGTGACTTGTATTAAGAAGTTAAGAGAACTACAAAATCTCATGTAACCTCATAAAAAAAAGCATAAATGAGACCTGAAAAAGAAGTTAAAATTAGCTAGAGAAGACCAAGATTAATAAAGCCACAGAGGGAGATATTACAAATTGGTAAATACAGAAAGAATTTCCAAAAGCCAGCAAACATGAAAGGTCAAAAGGCAAGACACAAAAGTATAAGTGTAGTGTTAAGAGCAATGGCAAAGTGGTGCAAGAAAAGTTTAGAAAGGTAGCATTGAAAAAGTAGAGCAGGACCCAAAGCCTACATCTGCTATCGCTTCCAACATGGAAATTCTCTGCAAGTTCCATGAAGAACCATGCCTATTCTTTTTTGTAATGATTTCTAATTTCCTCAAATAATACTTGGAAAAACATAAGGACTCTATAAACATCTATAAATTTGTAAAATAAAGGTATTTTCAATATTATCTGTAATACACAGAAATATTAGATGAAAACAATTGGTGCGGTAGATATGCTTAAGTATATGTAAATATATATGCCTACAATGACTTACAGTGATGTCTAGTTTTTCCTTTGCTTTGGCCATCTATTTTCATTTATAAATTTGCCTATGCTGCTAAAAAGCTCTTAAAATAAATTAAGAGATTATGTTTATTGTCTGATGTACGCATCTTATTCTAATATACATATAATTCTAGAGGCTATTTAGAGTATTCCCACATAGATTTTTCTTTCTTATAGTTATAAATTATTTATCTGCCTCTATACTCCCTTTCACATTTTACTTGGCGGTGAAAAAGAAAATCTCTCCTTAATATTTTAAATTTGCGAGTGCAATTTGCTGCTCTCAATCATCAAACCAACAAATATTTTACACCCTTTCAATGTTAAAATCTATTCTTTTGCATCTAAATGTTTTGTGCAAATTTTTGAGACAATACGTAGCCTTGTGCCTATTTGTACACTTATTCTTATTTAAGATTATAAAAATATTAGAAACTTGTGATTATTGCTGCAGTTTAATTGTTTGGAAAAATTATAAATTATTGACCTGTGATTCCTTGTTGGGCTTTAGAACATACAATGTCCCAAAGACATTGTTTGTAAAACTCTGAAAGTATATATGTGCATACATTCTATAGTCAACAGGGAAAGCTACCATGTGTTTTATCACATTCTCTAATGGATCTGTCAGCTTGCACAAAAAGGGTAAGAAACTCTTGTAAATGAAGATATGTTTTCCTCCAAGGTTTCATGAATGCACAAAACTTTGCTTGAGAAAGTTGGCATTTTTCCCTCATGTGTTCTTGAACCTAAGTTCTCAGTGATACTGGAATAAGCATGATGAGCCAGTGAAGCAAATTCCATATTTTGAAGGTTTAGCTATGGTATTGCTTTGATAACGTAAAGAAGCATTCACCTCTTTGGTTTTTAATTAATATTGTTCTTACTTAGAGAACAATGATCTTTAACCAGATGTTTTTAGGCAAATGACTTGCATCAGCTTATCCATATTCCCTAAAGAGCCATAAACACAAGAATGTCATTAGTAATCACCCATCAAATCCACTTAGAGCACGCCTAAATAATTAACACGTTATCACTTTTTCAGAGGTGCCTATCCAGTGACTGGATAACCACGACTTTGTATTCTCAGAGTGTTCCTCTTGCTTCTCTTGATTTCTAGAAGGCTTTTTAAAAATTCCGACCGAATGATAAATAGCTCACAACTATCCTTTCCTTGAAAAACACTTTCAGAACCTCTTAGAGAAGTACATGGACAGTTCATTAACCAGGGAGGCAATCTCTGCCATCCACGTGTAAAAAGAAAATGAATAGGAGTGAAAAAATACAAGAAGAGAACGATGAGCACTTTTACTTCTTTCGTACTTTGGTGTGTACAAGTTTGATCCCTATTTCCTGTGGAGACAAAGCAGGGGAAATGAGACATTATCTGTAATGTAGCATAGACGAATGCTAACATTGTTTCCCAATCAACATAAAATAGCAGGATTTTTATGTTTGAAGTATTTTTATAACCAAAATGTTACCTATAATATTTAGGATGTAAAATACTGAAATGAAGTCAACCTGTTTTGAGGGGGCTTATTATATACTAAAGTGTTTTCTTTTCAAATTCTCCTAAGCATTGAAATTGTAGCAAACTACTTTATTTAGTTTTCCTACTACTCAAACTTTGTGCCAACTTTCACTTAATTCTAGTGTCCCTTTGGTCTAAATTTATCATTGTGAGTTTCTTTTTCGTGTGTTCCCTCCAATTTGTTCCTTCATTTTTGCTTGCATGCATATTATCTTGCTTTCTTTCCTCATAAATTGTCCAATATTGCTGCCCACTCAGGAACTGCAAGTTAAAACAACAATTAAGTTCCATCTTTTTCCAGAAAGAATGGCCATCATTAAGAAATCACCCAACAATAATTTCTGATGAGGCCATGGGGGAAAAGGAAACTTTCTCTATTATTGGCAGGAGTGTAAATGGGTATACCAAATATGGAAACCAGTGTGGATATTCCTCAAAAAACTAAAATGGGAGGTTCTTTTCTAGGTATCTTCCTGAAGCAGTTAAAATAATCATACCAAAGTGAAATATGCACACCTATGTTTATAGCAGGAGAGTTTGTAATAGTTAGATCTTGGGAACAGCCCATATGCGCATCAACGCATCAATGGATAAAGAAAATGTGGTATTCCTATGCAAGAGAGTACTGCTCTGCTACAAAGTAGGATACATTCGAGACCCTTTCAGGTAAATGGATGCACCTCAAGACCATGATTTAAGTGAAATAAATCACATACACAAGTTCAAATATCATACTGCTTCTCTTCTGTGATAAACACCGAAGGGTGAATAAGGAGTGAAATGGAAGATAGATATTGGGAAGTCAGGAAACCTTGCTCAGATAGGAAGGACAAAGGGGAGGGGAAGGGAAGGAAGGGAAGCAGGATTTTAAAAAGAGAATGGAAGGGGAAAATGGAAATGAACCTTTGTAAATGGGGAGATGAATAACTATTTAAGAAAGGGAAGGAGTATGGGAAAAATGAATAATTAAGATATATTATGTACAGGTAAAAATTCCCTATGATGGATGGATCAATATGTATGGCAAACACATTCTAATAAAAATTTAAAAAGACTATC